TGCATTCACAGGTTTTATATAAACTCTTCCGTTTCTGCCTCTTTCCTCCCTACATTCTTTCATGAGACAATTTCATAAATCTAGCTAAGTCTTCATACTTGACATTTTAGTGGCTATAAAATGTTTCATTACATGACTGTGTCAAGATTTACTTAGCCATTAACTGGCTGCTAATGATTCTGGATTCATCTGACATTATGGAAAATGTAGTTGTAAAAATCTTTGCAAAAATAATATTTCCCTGGATATCAAGTCGGTTCTTCAGGATTGGCTTCCCAAAACAGATTTGCCAAATTGAGGGATGTAATGAGTTCTGTAATCTAGGAAAAAAACAAAACAAAACAATGCTACTATTTTTTACAAGCAATGTAAAAAATATACTCCAAGTCCCCAAAGCTTTGCTAGCTTTGGCTTCTCAAGTATCTATTATTAATAAGTTAATATATGTGAAGTAATATGCAGAACTATCTTAACTTGAAATCCTTTAATTATTATAAAAATAAAACATTTCACTACTACTGGTATTTCCCTTGTACAAACCATCTGTTCAGACCCCTTAAACCATCTGTCCAGCAGACTTGAAGCTTGCCCACATAGATAATAATAACTCTTTTTCTATAGAATATTAAATGTTTATCTGTGTGTTTATTTCAGAGCTCCTCTGTTCTTATCTTTTTTATTCTTCCCATTTGGAACTAGTCATTTGTTTTTGTTCTTTATTTTGTGATCTGTGTATATTTAAATTTGCATGTACCTTAACTTGTCGACCACATCATTTATTAACTTCACTTATTGCTTTCATTGTTAAAAATTCTTTTTATCCCAATCTACATATGTGTAGCATTGTTATTTCATGTATACACTTGCAAATACACACATATATACATACACATGCTACATTTAACTCAGATATTCTTTTGTTCAAAGGGAATTATCAATCTGAGTCTTAGACTCTAAGATGAGTTTCTCTATATCAGTAATCACTTTCTCCAAATTTTGGATTTCACCGAAAGGAACACTGAGCTGAGACAAACTGGGATTTTCTGCACTGAGTCTTGTTTTAGACCAGACTCTCTTTTTTTTCACAAGGTCACAGTCTTAAATTCATTTTTTAATGCTACTTGGGATTTTACTTGAGAATGTAGCTAGCTGGGTTAAGCTTCTACTATTTCTGAATATTTTCTTAATTCTAAACTTTAGGAGAGTTTACTAACCCTTCAGCCCATTAACAGGTACTTCAACCAGGTACTTAACCTCCTAGGATTTGGATCTGTTTCTTTATTACTCGGATATGAAATTAGACAAATATTGCAAGAAAAAAACACTATAGAACTAACACTCCTCATGAAAACAGATGCAAAGTTCTCATCTTCCATGGGATCCAATAATATAGAAAAATGATAATAAAATGAGTGTTGTTGCAGGAGGACTAAACAAATAAATTGATTTAACATTTAAATCAACTTGGCATAATATTTTAAAATAAATCAAACTGGGGGCTGGGAAGGTGGCTCAGTGGTAGAGTGCTTGTATTGCATGCATGAGGCCCTGGGTTCGATTCCTCAGCACCACATAAGCAGAAAAACCCGGAAGTGGTGCTGTGGCTAACATGGTAGAGCGCTAGCCTTGAGCTGAAGACCTGAGGGACAGTGCCCAGGCCCAGAGTTCAGGCCCCACAACCAGCAAAATAAATAAACTAAAATCAAAAGGAAACAAAGAAAAAGATGTGGCTATACCAATAATGACATTATCACTGAGTGTGGTGGTACTCTCCTGTAATACCAAAACTCAAGAGGCTAAGGAAACAGAACCTCAAATTCAAGGCCAACCTGGGCTACACTGGAAGATTCTATTTCCAAAAATACAGGTTGAGGTAGTGGCTCAAGTGTTAAGTGCTTTCCCAGCATGCTTGAGGCCCCGAGTTCAATTTCTGATACCATAAATCAAGCCAGCAAACAAACAAAACAAAACAATAACCAAACAAACCCTCAACATCCTTTTCCAATCAGAAACAAAGCTAGGCCCAGCTTGGTATACATCTGTAATCCCAGCTACAGGATGTACTAGCAAAGACAGGATGATCCCAGCCAGCCCAGGAAAATTTAGCACCAGATTTCATCTCAAAATTACAACCAAACACAAAGAGCTGGGTATGGCTCAAGTAGAAGAGTTTGCTTAGCCTTCTCTAGGCCCTGGCTGGGTTCAGCCTTCTACACTAGGGGCAAAGAAAAACTTGTCAGCAAACTACAAATAGATGAGAATTTCCTCAATCTGATACACAGTATCTATGGAGACCTTTCAGCTATTACCACACTTAATCATGGTCAGGCTTTTCCTCCTAAGGTCAAGCACAAGACAAGGATTTCTCTCTCCCTATTTTTATTCAACAACACACCGGCCTTAGTCGATGTGATAAGGCAAGAAAAAGAAATAGAAGGCATCTGCCTTGAAAAGGAAAACAAAGCTTGGGCAGGTGGTTCATGCCTGTAATCCTAGCTGCATGGAAGGCTGAGATTTGAGGATCATGGTTCAAAGCCAGGCAGAAAAGTCCATGAGACTCTTATCTCCAATAAACTACTAAGAAAAAGCCAGAAGTGGCGCTATGGCTTGAATGGTAGAGCATTAGTCTTGAGCACCAAGAGGCTCAGGGACAGCACCCAGGCCTTCAGCTCAAGCCCCAGAACCAGCAAAAAAAGAAAGGAAGGAAGAAAGAAGGGAGGAAGGAAGAAAGAAGGGAGGAAGGAAGGAAAGAAGGAAAAAGAAAGAAAGGAGGAGGAAAGAAAGAAAGAGAGGAAAAGGAAAACATAAAACACTTCACAGATCACCTGATTGTTTATGCAGAAAATCAGATTGTCCATTAAGATGTTATTAGAACTGAGTATAGCAAGATTGCAGAATGCAAGATCAATACACAAAATCTACATATTAGCAATACACAAGTGTAAGTTGAAATCAATAAAATGATACAATATCAGAAACATGAAATACTTCAGGATAAATCTGTAAAAACAATGTGAAAGATCAATATACTGAAAACTCTTGAACACTGTTCATAAAGACCACAATAAATTGAGACATATACCTTACTCACAGGGCAGAAGATTCATTATTGTTTTGATGACAATTTCGCCCAAATTTGTGAGTAGAGGCAAAACAATTGCAATCAAAATTCAAGCCAATTAAAAATTCATGCTGAAATACAAAGACTTAAAACAAGCACAAAACATCTTTGAGAAAGAACAGCATTACATAGCTGGTCGCAGTCCAGTGACAATGCTGTAGAAGTATTAATGTAAAATAGACAAATTGAGTAACAAGCAGAACAAGAAGTCCAGAAACATCTTCCCACATTGATACAAATTTGATTTTTGTTTTTGGTTTTCAATGCTGGTTTGAACCCAGAACCTTGCCCTTGTGTGGCAAGCATCTACCACTGAGCTATATTGCTAGCCAAAATCTAATTTTTGACAAAGATTTAAGAAGAGTTGGGTGGAAAAAAAGTGATTTTTATAGCATGTGGTCTGAACAGTTCAATGTTATATATTGTTATTTATATTATACATATATGTTATAATGTTTTATATACATATTTATATATTATAAATAGCATATTATAATACAATATCTTATACTAACGTTATATTTTTTCTTATGTTCTTTGTTAAAAAATAAAAGTATTAACTAAAAGTGGGTGGTAGGCCTGAATGTATACATGAAACTATAAAAAGTATAAAACTATAAACCTTCAGAATAAGACTCAGAAAAACTCTGTGATCTTGTGATCTTGGATTAGGCAAAGAATTCTTAAACATGATACTACAAAAGCTCCATCCGTAAAAATGATCAATTGGACTTCATGCTAATTAAAAACTCCTGCTTTTCCTAAGACCATGTTAGGAGATAGAAAACACAAGCCGCTGGCTGGGGGGGAACACAAATATTTGTAAAGCAAATCTTTAAAAAAAAGATTTGTCCTCAGAATAGATAAGAACATCCAAAAACTCTATAATAAATCACTTAATGATAAATGTATAAAAAAATTCACACATATCCTCTGAATATAAACACATGAAAAAATTCTCAATGCCACTAGCCGTACAGACTGCAAAACTAAAGCAGAGACACCACTAAGTACTGAGAATTAAAATGTCTGGACCTTTGGATGGGCAGCATTTACCGTCTCACCCAGACACCCCATTCCCAGGTACATAACCAAGCAAAAAGAGCACCCACATCTACAGAGATTTGCGCAGCCATGTTCCTGGGAGCTCTAACTTTAATATGGAAATATTTGAAACAGCCTAACGTCCAGAGTGGCTGTGAATAAATACAGCTTGGTATATCCATACATGGAATACTACTCAACACGAAGGAGGAATGAACCATTGTTTCGTGCAAAACCACTCAGGGTTGTCAAAATAACCAGGCTGGGTGAAAGAAGCCAGACCGAGCCAAGGACACATTGCACGATTCCAACTATAAACACCCTGGAAAATGCAAACAAACCAACGCAGCTCCAGGTTGGCGCGAGGAAGGAATCACGTAGGGGTGGGTGGAGCCAGGAATTGAGAAGGGCTTGGAGAATTAGGGGGAGGGGTTGGCCTGGAGGAACCCGGAAAAGCTCCGGGAAGGTCAAGGTCTAGCAGGCTGGGGTGGGGCGAGACAAGTGCAGAGTCCTGCAAGTCTGAGATGGAGGGGGCGGGAAGTAAGAGGAAGGGAGGAGGAGGGGGCGGGGCCTAGATGGGCAGGGAGAGGGAGGAAAAGCCGGGAGTGGTGGAGTTCCAGGCCAGGGCGGGGCAGGACGAGTGGAGGGCGGGGCAAGGAACGTGAGAGGGCGTGGCTTTTGAGGAGGTGTGGTGATATGTTATGGGGCGGGGCAAAGACAGGGAACGGGGGAATCCGCGGGGCTACGACACGAAAGGGGCGGAGCAGAGAACGGGGCGGGGCTAGGCGTGAGGGCTGTACCGGGGGCGGAGCTAGAGAAGAGAGGCGGGGCGCGGGCCTAGGATCGGCATGGAGGTCTTCCTCCGAGCTCTCCGCGTCCTTCCTTTCCGAGAGGTCCCTGGGCGCAGGGTTCGGGGCCTGTCGGGGACGCGCCGCGGGGACGCAGGTAGGACAGGGCCTCTCCCGTCCCTCCTCGCGGCTTCTGGTTTCACTGCCCTGATTGGGGGGGGTGTCCTGACCGCCGCGATCCTGGCCTGGCCTTCAAGGTGATGGGGTCCCCCCCCCCCCGCCCCAGCGCAGCGAGAAAGGCCGGAGAGGCGCAGCGTCTGTCCAGGACGGGCTCGCGATTCTGTAAAGCTGTTGTGTGACTTATTTATTGTATAAAATGTGAGGCTCCGAAGACGCCACGTTGGCCCGCGGGCTTCGGGGGTTGGGGCCCCCGAGATCCCGCCGGGCCGCGCGTCGCCCCCAGCTTTCCGGCCGCCAAGGGGAGCGGCCCGCGCCCCCGGAGCCAGGCGGGGTTTCCCGACTGGGTCCGGGAGACCTGTTGGTTAGACAGCTCCCTCAGGAAACCGGCCTTTCGTTCTTCATGGCCAAAGGGACCAGGTGTGTGTTTGTGTGTTTCCTGAGAAGCACCTTTGGCTCCCATATTTTTTTGTGGGGAGCAACTGGGGCATATCTGCCGTCCTCTGTTAGGAAGGGGCGTAGTAGAGACCTCAACTGACCCACTTCCTGATCCAGTTTTCTGTGTGTCCATTGAAGACACAGGGATAGCTGAGAATGTGCCATCTGAAAGTGTACTACCTCATGTGTGCCTCTTTTGTGTTTTAATCTCGGGAGGGTTTTGTGGTGGTGGTGGTGATGGTGGTGGTTGTTTTACTGCTTGTTCGATTTTGTCTTGTGTTTGTCAAACTGGGTTTTGAACTCAGGAACTGGTGGAAAAGCGCACCACCACTTGAGCCCTTTTTTGCTCTTTTGTGTGTCAGTTAATTTTCGGGTAGACTCACCATCGTTTTGCCTTGTGGCAGGCCCCAGGCAGATCCAAGCTTCACCTCTGTGGGATTACCAGCCTGGCCTTCTGTTGAAGGTTACAAAATGTAATGGTAAATAAATAAAAGCCTTGGCAATGTGGAGCTGCGGCTGATGCAACATGACCCCAAGTGATGACTTTCCCAGTCCCTCAGTGTCTCAGGCAGCCTGTCTGCTATCTGTCCCAAGCCCTCAGGTATGCCAGGAAGGGTTTGCTGAGAGCCACAAGTAATGGAAATATCACAGTTGTGAGCTGGGTTTCTCCTCATCACCTTTCATAGGGTTTTACCAGAAACTGCTTCATGCATGTGCTTGGTGCTGTCATAAGCAGCCTGATAAATGGGCCTGACATCTGCAATTCTTCAGCCATATTAAAATCTGGCCAGACACCAGTGCATACCAGGAGCTGTGTAACTCATCAGACACCCCCTTTCTGGAATGTATTCTAAGGAAATAATTCAAAAGAACAAAGCTCTATATGCAAAGACATTTTTAGTGGTATTACCTTTAGGAACCAGAAACTGGCTTCCCTCCAAATCAGTGAAGGAACGCATAAGTAAATCATGCAAGTTCAATTCAACCAAGAAGTAGGCATCCACCAAAAATGACAAGCAAGTAGTGGTTCTGTGGTCAAAGGCTTGGTTCTGCCGTTAAAGGTTTGGTGGTCAATAGTTTGAGCCTTGGCTTGCTGTCCCTTCCTGCGTTTGTGTCTGACCTTGAGCTTCCATATAAGAATACTATGGAGTGGGAGGCTTAAACAATACATACTCATTTTTTATAGTTCTGGAGGCTGAAAAGTCCAAAACCAAGATGGTGACATATTTGGTTGCCTGACAAGGACCCACTTTCTGGCTTAGAGATGGCCATGTTTTTGCTGAGTGTTGAATTAGCCTTCTGGCTGGGGGAGGGGGGCAGGGGGGTAGGACAGGCTTTCAAGTCTCTCTTCTCCCCTCATGTCTTTTTTTTTCCTCTCTCTCCTGCTTTCTCTTTGTGATGGGCTCAAATTCAAGGCCTTCCCTTGCCGGTACTAGGCATGCACTCTGCCATTAAGCTACATTCCCAGTCTATCAGATCTTTTCTTTATAAGGACACTAGTAGCCCCATAAGGATCCCACTTGTGCTGTGGCCCATGGCTCACACCTATAATCAGAGCTACTGAGGAGGCTGAGATTCCGAAGGTCAAAGAGTAACAGGCATGAATCAAGAGGCAGAGGTGTTAGCAAGCAAGCCGAATGAGCCTGAGACCTGGAGTTCAAACCCCAGTACTACAAAAATAAATAAATAAATAATAAAATAAACACACTCATAATTAGTTTACTATAAACACATAGACTAAATGTAAAGGAATATACCACCTAATGCTTAAAAAAACGTAGCTATACATAGAACTCATATATGTTATAGACTGTAATAGACAATTTGCTCCAGGAAAGTTAGAGTGTGTTTGTGACTTTAACTGAGCATCACTATCCCACAATACTGTGAAATTTGGGAAATTATGTAACCACTTAATCACAATAAAGATTTTGAAAAAAAACCATAGCTATATTAATTTGAGAAGACTTTAGGAAAGGAATCAGTGATTAAAGGTAGACATTACATAATAAATGAGGCCAGTTCTCCAAGACAAAACAATCCTTCATGTATATGCACCTAACAACAGAGCACCAAACCATGTTAAGTGAAAATAACTCCAGGAAGAGAAAAATCTACTATCATAGTTGGAGACTTCAATAGCCTCTCTCAGAAATGGACAGACAGTGGGCAGAAATTAGTATAAGTGTCATTGAACTCAAAAGTTTCATCAATCCACAGGCTTTAATTGACGTTTATAGACTACTTCATTCAGAAGGCCGAGTAGTAGTTAGCCAGGAAACCTAAAAGGAAAGAGGTATGATGGCAGAGGGTGCTAGCAGAACATGGAAATTTTAAGCAAGAGTAATGATGTGTTTTGGCCTAGACTTTTGAGATCCTCCTCTTTGCCTCCTGAGTAGCTGGGATTGCAGGCATGAGCTGCCATGCCTAACTTCAAGTTTTAAGCATTGCTCATTACAGCATGTGAAGGGAGGATCTAATTCCACACAAAATGGTAGGCTCGAAAGTATGCTTGTTAAACTACTACAAATAACTTGAGGAGCTAGCATACAACGGAAATCTAATTCCTAGTGTTATGGCCTTGTGTTTACAATTACAATAACTCTTCCTAGCTTGTAGATGTTGCTCCTCAATTTATTTCATACTCCCTAGCAAGGACAGAAACCCCACAGTGTGAAAAGGAATTAAGTCCTGAATCAGTAGCTTCACCCCACCCATCCCCATTCCCGAAAATGGCTCAGAAGACTCAGCTACCACACTGGGCAGGCTACTTTTGGTGTAAAAGAGGTGATGATGAGCTAGGGTGGAAACAGGTCTTGGAGAACTTAAGATTGTCTTTTGTGCAACATTGAGTGAGTTTTCATCCATTAGGCTTAGGAAACCAAAGTTCAGTGTTCAGGAAGTCAGGGTGACATTCGTTTCTCACTGTTCTGGCTGTGACAACAGTTTGTCTTTCCTTGTTTTTCAGGATCTTGACAATTTTGAGTACTGGTCACATACCATATAGAGTGCTTCTCAGTCTGTCATCATTTGATGTTTGCCTTCATGACTAAACTGAGATTATAGGTTACTGGGGAAAATTCTACAGAAATTAAGTTCCCTCCTAATTCTGTGACCTCTTTCCCATGCTTTGCCACCATTGACACACATACCATTGAGACACACACATGTATGTGCACACACACTTGTGTGACTTGCTAAACCATTTTAGAGATAGTTGTAGGTGTTGACAATACTTTATCCCTAAATCTTTCTGCATTTGTCTCCTATGACCAAAGATTTTTTTTCCTGCGAACTAAGAGGACAATTATCATACTCTTGAGATTGAACCTCATTATAACACTGTTGTCTAATGTATCTGTCATACTGACATTTCTATGTTCCAGTTAGTGTCTCTATTGCTTAATTTTCCTTGGATCTAGAAATCAGTGAAAGGAAACTCATTGCACTTCGTTGTTTTCCAGGATTTCCTTTCCTTTATGTTCGTATATTTCTTCATGATCAGATTAAACATTTTTGTGGAGCAGGTCCTGGTGGCTCACACCTATAAGCCTAGCTATTCAGAAGGCTGAGATCTGAGGGTTTCAATTTGAAGCCAGCCTGGACAGAAAAGTCTTATCTCCTATAAGACAGCAAAAGACAGGAAGTGGAGGTTTGGCTCAAATAGTAGAGCACCAGCCTAATAAATAAACCTAAATAAAAAGAATTGAAAGATAATGGTACTAGGTACACTGTTCTTCCCAGTACAGTAACTATGAGTCTCCTATGCCACAGATCCACTTTAATGATACTAACTTTGCTCACTTAGTTAAGGTGGCTTCCAGATTCCTCCATTTTAAAGGTGTCTTTTCTTCTTTGTAATTGGTCATCTCAGGGCCATATTTGGGGCCTTTTCCAAAAGTCTTTCACCCAAGAGATTGAGAATTTTCTGATGGTTCTTGCTTGACTCCCTGGCATGTTGCTGCCTAACTGTAATCCCAGCACTGGTGGAGCTGAGAGAAGTCAGTTACAAGTCAGAGGGCACAATGATCTACGTACCAAAACCTTTGCTCAAACAAAGAAACAAAAAGCTTTCTCAGAGTAGGGCATCAGTGGCTTGTGCTTACATTCTAGCTCCTTAGGATCCTGAGAATGGGACCTCTTTGCTCAAGGCCAGCCAGGACAGAAAGATATTAGAGATTCCTTGTTTGTGGAAAGGGAAGCTAGTCATGGGGGAAGCCTAAAAATAGAAGTCTGGGAAGCAAGACCTTATCTGAAAAGTAACCACCAAAAAGCAGGCCTGGAGGCATAGTACAAATGGTGGAGGCCAGCCTTGCTAGATTGAGGTCCTTAGTTTAAACCCAGCACTGCTATTTTTTTAAAAGCCTTTAAATAAATTATACTCATAAGCAGTCAACAATATACAATACTAAAAGTATATTATCATGCAATTTCATAAAGGTGTCTTTCTTGCTAAAAGAATATTTAGGACTTTTTGTGTGTGTATCCAAAAATTAATTTTAAACACAGTTGCATGTTTGATATGTGAGTGCACACATCACAGACATTTAGTATTTTATCTTCAGTGCAAGAGTGGATTGCTAACCTCTTCTGGGCCTCTTCTCATTGAAAATTGAAATGTTGTAGAGATTATAAAATACTTTCAAATTTCTTTTTTTTGTTTGTTTTTTTTGGTCCGGTCGTGGGGCCTGAACTCTGGGCCTGGGCGCTGTCCCTCAGCTCTTCAGCTCAAGGCTAGCACTCTACCACTTGAGCCACAGCACCACTTCCGGCTTTTTTCTTTTTGCTTATGTGGTGCTGAGGATTCGAACCCAGGGCCTCCTGCATGCAAGGCAAGCGCTCTACCACTGAGCCACCTTCCCAGCCCCTCAAATTCTTAATATTAGATAATTAGGAAATTTATTGGGAGACTGACAATTGAGTTTTCTTTTGGCTTTGGCCACAGAGTGGCTTGTTCTGATTATTTGTTTATAGTCAACATATAAAAGTAATACAGGCTGAGCATGGTGGTCCACACTGGTAATCCCAGCTACTCCAGAGGTCGATAGAGGTCAGGAAACTGTTCATTTGAAGTCAGCTTGTGCAAAAAAATGATTGAGACTGTATCTCAAAAACAAACCAAGTGTGGTGGTAATGCCTTTACCAGCTACTTGGAGGTGGAGGTAGGAGGATACCTCTGTTGGTCTTAGGGGAAAGTATGAGACCCTATCTAAAGTACCAAACTAAAAAAAAATGGGCTGGAGGTGTGGCTCAATGCAGAGTACTTGTGCTCTACTTGAGAGTTCAAAAGCCAAGTATCAACACCACACACAGAGTCCAAAAGTAATTGAGAAGTGGACAGACCAGGAAGCATAGTAGTGTGGTAGTTCTGGTGCTCCCAGCTGTGCTGACAGGAAATGCTGGTCTGAAAGCAGTTAGAAGGGCCAATCAGTTTCCACTTTGAAGAGAACCTACTCTGCATGAACTTACTCCTAGTTCAACTACTTCAGCTTCTGTGTTCCCAGGAAGACTAGAAAACCAACTGTTCTGGTTATTCAAAGCATTTTGTAATCCAGCCTTCCTGTCCCTGTGAGCATGGAGAGAGAGGAAGGGGCGGGGCTATCACGGGGTGACAGGATACTCTGGTTGAAAGGGAAGTTCATTGTGCATTTCGATTTTAATAAACAAATTCCTTATATAACACTGCAGGGTCTCTTACGAAGTGTGAGTCCCCGTCTCTCACCAAGGCTGAGTGGCAGAAGAAACTGACCCCTGAGCAGTTCTACGTCACCAGAGAAAAAGGAACTGAGCCTGTGAGTGGCCTGATGTACAGTGTCTGGTTAAGGGTTTGGAGAGGGGCCAGGAGACCATCTACAAACTCCAAGTAGGCCTTGTCCACTGTGCAAATCTGCTCCTCTTCCATTGGTCCCTTCTCTGGGCATTGGAATCTGTCCCGTTGTAGAATCCTGAATCTAGCCCTGGACACATCCACCACCAGCACCCCCACTGCCATGCTGCACATCTCTCACCCTATGTGGCTACCAAAACCAAAGAAGGATCCCCCCCCCACCTTTGTCAGTACTGAGTTTTGAACACAGACCTTTATGATTGCTTATGCTGGTACTCTACCACTTGAGCCATACCTCCAGTCCAGCTTTTTGCTGCTTATTTTCTAAACTGAAAGCTCATAGTCTTTTCTGCTCAGGCTGACCTCAAACTATACTCCTTTGGATCTCAGTCTTTAGAGTAACTAGGATTATAGGAATGAGCCCCCAGGTATTAGCTTAAAGACGCCTTTTGAAAACACTACCCAGCTTTGATCCCTCAGTGGCTTCTACCACTTTCAAGGAAAGAGAAAAGTAGTGAAGAGTTACTTAGTTCCTAAAGGCAGTGGCTCATATATCCTATCCAACCCCAAGTCTCTGAGCTGTAGCTGGAGAGCTGGGAGCTCACAAGTACTCTGGGTTCCCATTCCTTGAAGGCCCTTGTGTACCATGTTCCTTTTCCTAGCTCCTCCTGATTAATTCATACCCACCAATTAATTCTGAGCCTAAAGTTCACCTCAGGGAGCCCTTCTCTCAGTCCCAAGTCAGGTTTAATTCTACAGTACTTGCCCTTCATAACATTTTCTGCTGTGTTTTGTCCCCTTGTGTCTACCGTAATGTCTGGCTGTGATACTGGATAACCGTTTATGGATACAGAATGACTGAGGGCATAGAGGAGAAAACATTATTTAAACTGAAGTCAGCAATCTCAGCTTTCATTCAGCCTTCACTGGTTCCTCTTTATAAAGCTATTCTTTTCAGCACTGTGATTCTTAACAAGTGGTCCAACTAGAAGCACTGCAATTGAGCTGTTGAACTTCCACTCCGTATTGTCATTTGTGAAGCAGGTCCCACAGATAGACCACAGTACAGCAACACTGCAAAAAAATATTTACATTTTCCCTTTTTCAGTACCTGGAAAACTCACATATGGCCTTGTCATCATGATCAAACCCTCCAGTTCCCTGATGCTAAAGCATTCAGACTTTTTGCTAGTATTTTTCACAGCTTTCTGCAGGTGGGATTTTAATAAAGTCTTCACTGGGAAAGAGACTTCATTTGAATTATTGTTGATAGCATAGGAGAGCTATATGTGATGCTCTGACCTGTGTGTGTGTGTGTGTGTGTGTATGTGAGTGTGTCTACACAGGCATGCACACACAAGAATATTCTAAGCCTGCTCTTATGTTCAGGTGAAGAGCCAGACAAGGCTTGGTGCCTGGAGATTCTCTGCCAGATGTTTCAGAGAATAAATCTGTAGGCTTCTGAAACAGATGGTCCATTCTATTTTGCATTTGGCCCTTGTACAAAATGAGCAGCATCCCTTATAACTAATGTTATAAATCCCTTTCAGTGGCTCCATTTCCACATTTTACATTTCAGAACTCAGCAGAACTGTAAGCCTCTGTCAGCTTCGTCAGGCCGAGGGATTCAGATTGAATTCAGTTACACATGGTTTTTTACTGGGCAACAGAACTAAGTTGGGTCTCTGCTGTCACCCAGCCAAAGAAAGCTGCAGCCCAACTTGAGTAGTACTAAAGTCAGTGTTCAGAAGAGAAGGTGCAGGTCCTTTTGTGGGGGCCCTTCTCTGGGTGCCTTCCTCATCTACTCTCCACAGGCTTCTCCCTGCCCTGGCTTTCTTGTCTCCTGGCCATTGACTTAATTCAGGCAGAAAGATGTCAGAGCTTAGTGAGAAGGATAGAGAAATTAGCAGGGATCTGAGGTTCCCTTAGCCCTGGAAGTGTGGCTGTTAGCTGTGTTCCTGTTCTGCAGGTGGCAGCTCCGGTGACTGCTTCTTCCCTTACCCCATAGGCCCATAGGGAGTGGTAACTTCTTTCAGATACTGATCCCTTCATTGGTGTCTGCTGACCCTGTCCCCCAACCTTTGAGAATAGTCCCATATGACTTGTCTGAAGTTATCGCTTTTGACGGGGTCCACTGTTTTCAGCAAGTGTTGCTTTTTACTACTGATTGTTGGTGTGTGTGTGGTGTCTGGTGTGAATGTGTGTGTATGTGTATGTGTGTGCGTAGGCTGATACTGGGGCTTGAACTCAGGGTCTGGAGCTCTTGCTTTAGCTTTTTTGCTCAAGGTTGGGGCTCTGCTACTTGAACCACACCTCCACTTCCATCTTTCCTTACTTTCTTTTTTTTTTTTGGTCGGTCATGGGCTTGGGCACTGTCCCTGCTCTACCGCTTGAGCCACAGCGCCACTTCCGGTTTTCTAGTGGTTTATTGGAGATAAGAGTCTCACAGATATTTCTGCCCGGGCTGGCTTTGAACCGCGATCCTCAGATCTCAGCCTCCTGAGTAGCTAGGGTTACAGACATGAGCCACGGGCACCTGGCTGAACAGCTTTGATCCTTAAACCTCAGCCTCCTGAGTATCTAGGATTATAGGTGTGAGCCACCAATGTCTGGTCCAAAGTGTACTGTTTTGACAGCACCAAAGAACAGAGCTCTGCCTGAGTCCAGGCAGACTGAATTCCAGGGGGTGCCTTGAGCTTTATTTTCTCTCTGACCCTGGCCCCTAGCCCTGACAGCTAGCCAGCCTTTCATTCTCTCCTCTGGTTTTCAATTTCCAGCCAGAGCAGGAGCACAGCAAGCCTGCATTAGTGACTCGCTTAGCTGCTTGTTCTTTGCTTCTGGTGTATTTTTCCCTCTACTCCAAGCTGTTTGGTTTTTGTTCTTTTTGTTTGTTAATTGCAGTGTCCAGAGTGGATCCAGAACCCCGTGCATGCCCAGTGCTGTACCACGGGGCTACATTCCCTCCCCCTCCCCTCCAGTCCATTCTCGACTTGGATATCAAGGGATCATTTCTGAAAGCCAATTCTGGTCATGTTCTTGGCCATTGCAGTTCCCAGTGGCTCCCCTCGCTCAGCAGGCCAGGGTGTCCATTTCTTAGCCTGCTCTACAGCTGTATGGTGGCCAGGCCTTGCCTGTCCTCCCTCTCCACCTCACCTTATCTGGACTGTTCTACTTGTCTGAAGTCCTTCTGCCGTCTCATCCTTCAAAACTTGCCCTAATGTCTTGGAATTTTTAGGTAATAAATACCAATCAGCTGTGCAGGGTAAAAATACACAAACAAAAACAGACTCTACACAATGATAGACAATATTTGGTGAGAACACCTTCTTGGCAGTGGTCGGGCAGTACCCAGCTCCATACACTCCTCTGTCCTGGCTGTCATGGTCTGGTATATCTTCCCACCTAAGCCACCAGTACATTCTTTGGGAACAAGGACTGAATGTGCCATGTCATCCTAGCCACTCAGGAGGCTGAGATCAGTTGGATCAATGGTTTGAAGCTAATCTGGGCAGAAGTCTGTGAGACTTCATATCTGAATTAAACAGCAAAAAGCCAGGCTAGAGGAGTGGCTCAAGTGGTAGAATGCCAGCCATGAGTAGTCATGCAGAGCAAGTACCAGGCCCTGAGTTCAAACCCCTTTACCACCCCAGAGAGAGAGGGAGAGAGAATACCATGGATTTTAATCCCAGTGTGTACTCATACTTTAGTGTATACTCAGCCCTGCACCAAGTAGACAAATTTTCCATGGTTACTAAAATGGACAGATAAATGAGAAGCAGAATTTTGGTCCTAAGTACATCATAGGATCTGTCAAATGAGGGAGTGGGGAGGGAAACATTAGAAGTCAGACGAGGAGGTAGTGAGTAGCTGTCATCCCCTAAAATACATTGGCTGAACAATTCCTCTTTATATGAATTATTTGCTCTTATTTTACTTAACTGTGATAGCAATGCTCTGTCACTTCTCTACCCATCTGTCCCCTGCCATGCTGAAATTGCATTTCTGACCCTTACCAGGTATCTTGTTCATATGAACAGAGTTCTGTAGCTCAGCCTTGAGGCTGGCAGCTCTCTGGCACATATGTACCATAGGCCAGGGGGAGGGCTATGAAGCCTCATCCACAGATGCCATGTTGCCAGAGCTGGCCGCCCGGCTCTGGAGGACTAGCTCACAGCATTCACAATTCTGCATCTAATATAGGGGTTTTAAAGAGGGAAAATGTCCAAGGGCTCCCATCTGGTTGGCTCAGAAGTTTGATCTGAAATGGCCCATCATGCTGCTCTTTGAAAATATGTGCTTAATACCACAGGGAACTGGAGGCTTCACTTGCAAGTTCTTTTGTTTTTGTTTTTGTCAGTCCTGGGGCTTGAACTCTGGGCCTGGGCCCTGTCCCTCAGCTCTTCAGCTCAAGCTGAGTGTTCTACCAGTTAAGCTACAGCACCACTTCCAGTTTTCTGAGTGGCTTATTGGAGATAAGAGTCTCCTGGAGTTTCCTGCCTGGGCTGGCTTTGAATCGCAATCCTCAGATCTCAGCCTCCTGAGTAGGTAGGATTACAGGCGTGAGCCACCGGCGCCCAGCTTGTTTTTGTTTTTATAATACTAGAGATTGAACTCAGGATTTCACACCTGCTAGGCAGGCACCCTACTTCCGAATCATGCTCCCTACCCCCTCCACTCCCCCACTGGTTATTTTGAGATGGAATTTCATTTTTATCCTATTATTTTATGACTGGTATTCCCCACCACACCCACCTTCTCATTGACGTGGTAACTTCAGTGTTTTTTTTTTTTTGTGGGGGCACAGAGGTGTCTGGGCTGGCCTAAGACTGCAGTCCTCCCAACCTAACCTCCCATGCATTTGGGATGCTACAATGCATTCAGTGCTCAGTAGGCATTTGAATCTTTCCTCCCTCTTCTTCCCTCCTCCCTGTCTTAAGGATCAAACTCTGGGCCTTGCACATACTGGGAAAATACACTACTGACCACACCCTCAGTGTCTTTATGATCTGCTTTAATTGGGGATTTCAACATATTTGAGACAAGGATTCCAGTTCCTCATTTAGCTCTTTTGAAAAGAGACTGAAAACATCCACAAATTACAGAAGGTCAGATTCATTTCTCATCTTTATTCATGGAAATTGATGAAAACTTCTGTGTAAATACAGAGCATTATTTATGTCCTAATTTAAATATTGGGTACAATCAAGACCAGATTGTAAATAAGGCCTGCAGGCTACTTCTTTGGGTGGTTGTAATTTCCTCTCTGGTGGTATTTGTGTTTTGTCAAATTCATACTTGGAAACATCATGGTGGTGGTGTTTACTTTTGTTTTCGTTTTCTAGTGGTACTAAGGATGGAACCCAGGGTTTCACATGTGCTAGACAAGCTCTGAGCTACACCTTCATCCTCTCTGTCTTTGGGCTTAAATCTGCTACATTGCCTCCTTCTGATGATGTGGGAAACATGCACCCATGTGTCATTTACTTTCAGCCTTTCAGTGGGACCTACCTGAACAACAAGGACCCGGGAATGTACCATTGTGTGTGCTGCGATGCTCCACTCTTCAGGTGAGATGAGGAAGCCGGAGCTAACGAAGAGCAATTCCCCCTCTGTTGAGGCAGCTCGGTCTCATTTGAGGTTTTGGATAAATACGTTTCTTGTTTACGTTTTGGTGCTGAGGCTTCATGCATGGTGAGCACTTTCTCTGCCATTGAGCGACTCCCCTAACTCCCAGGTATCCTTTAGTTTCCTTCTTAATTTGTTTAAGAGGAACTATTCTTAGAAGCTATCAGTCTTAATTTTTCCCCGTAGCTTTTGAGCAATTAACAAGACTTAGCTTATATTCTTAGCTTATATTTTTCTTTATATAAACATAGGAAATAGCAAACGAAAACATGGCGGATTCTTTACCATAATGCTATTAGAATGTTTTTAAGGGAAGCATGTAAAGACAGTTAAACCCTAATAGTATTTGCTTGGTCATGTGATTTAAAAAAATAACTATACCTCTCTCAGGGAAAATGGGTTTATAATTTAATTTAGGGTTTTATGAGGGTAGATTCCCCACTGTGCTTGATGGTGAATACCAGACCCTCATTCACTAACTGGAAGTAAATTTAATTGTCCCCTGATTTCAAAGCCTTCTCTAAGTCAATCTGGATCTAAAATCTTTCAACAAAAGCTTTTTGTTTAGATATACAGGAAACAGTCTTAAAAAAATAGATTCGATGAAGAAGAAAGGAAATATCTTTGAAGTCTTGTTTTTTAGAACTTCAAAGATGTTTTCCTTTCTTTGGCATCGTCCCTAAATTGGTTTAGAATAAAATATAAATCAAGCCAGCCTTGCGAATCTTCCATTAGGCAGAATTTCCTTCTGTCCTTTGGGCTTTGAGCAGACAGACTTTTCCTGGTGAGCCAGCTGCATTAGGGAAGCCAGACCCCACCTGCAAGGACGAGAAACAAGTAGAATCCATTTTCTCTGGTGCCCACACGGGACCAGACTGGCCCACATTCATCCACAATTGTCTGCCAGCCAGTGGGGAGATAGTGGGGGAGTGGGGGAGGCAACTCAGGAGGCTCTGGGGAAACAAGGAGAAAGTTAGTGTTTACACCCTGGAGTGGCTAGAAAACAAACCATTTTCTCCCAACTATCATAGCACAACAGAGACTTTTGTGACCTAGGTGGAGTGAGATCACATGACCAGACACCAGCAGGGGCATCAGATGCCAGGGGTGCTGATCAGATGCTGATCACGAGCCCAGGGCTGTGGCCAGTGCTTATGATCAACGACTATAGATTGAGGTTTTCACACACCCTCTTTGGGTTCAGTTACTTTACCTGAGGAGCTCACAGAACTCTGGAAACACATAGGTTTACTGGGTTATGATAGAGGATAGTATAATGCAGAGGTGAATAGAATGACACAGGAGAGGGGTGCCACACTTCCTGTGCCCTCTCAGGGAACATTCTCTAGATATCTCCATGTGTTCAGCTATCTGGACCCTGATGCTTAGGCTTATGGCAGCTCCATGGTTGAATCAGTCACTGGCCATGGCTGTTGGTGATCAACTTAACCTTCAGCCTGTCTTCCTTCCTTAAAAAAAAAAAAATCAACTATCTGGTCATGCTTTGGTGACTAGTGCCCATCCAGTAGCTACCACGGGACTGCCAGCCATCAGCCAGCTCATTGGCACATACAAAGACATGATCACTGGGCAGATTCCAGTTGTGGTTTGCCAGGAAATAGGAAGAAGAGCAAATAGATATTTCACCATATCACAGCAGTAAAATGGAGATGCAGGCCAGGGACTGGTGGCTCATGCCTACAATCCTCACTACTGAGGAGGCTGAGTTCTGAAGAACATAGTTAGAAGCCAGCCTGAGCAGGAAAGTCCTTAAACCTCTTCTCTCCAGTGAACTACTTAGAAAAAGCTGAAAGTGGTGCTGTGGCTTATGTGGTAGCGTGGTAGCCTGGAGCCCAAAGTGGCTTAGGGACAGTACCCAGGCCCTGAGTTCAAGCTCCAGGACCAGCACACACACAAAAATAGAGACACAGGCTCAGAAATCTTAGTTACCCCTTGATCATTGGTTCTGTGAAAGAGAAGTGGACCCTCAGTGGACAGCTTTCCAAGGAAGAGCCATGTTGCCAGAGTTCAGAGGGCTGTCTTGTTGCTGGCGGGTCAGTAGGCATGCACATCTTTCTACATTTGGATTGTAATGACAGAGACAAAATGTCATCCAGTGAGAGCATTGATTTGTTAGTATCTTCTCACTATTCAACATCTGATGTCCCCTTCCCACACAGGCCAGGCCTGTGGGCACGGAACAACCTGAGAGCTAGGGCAGACAACTGTGGCCAGCAGAACTCACTCCCGCCATGGAAATGCCCTTCCTCTGCACTGGGTGCAGCCGAGCATTCAACTGAGGCTGGCGTGGCTGAGAAGTTGACATTTTCATTTCATGTTATTTTATTTAAGGAACATTGCACGGGACTAGGGGCTGCTAGTATGTTAGCACAGTGTTAGTTCAAACAGCTCTGGATCTGCAAGGTCACAAAGTAGCTCAAAGTGACAGGATTACCAGCCGATTCTCCAAAAGCCTGTGCGTGTGGAGCTAGCTGTTCACCACACTAACAAGACAGGACCCTTGGTTGTTTTTTGGATGCAAAGTTGATATTTCTTATTTAAAAAGAAAAAAAAAGTTTGAGTTTGTTTCAGTTCTCTTTTTCCTGCTGCTTTAGCTTAGAATGAGGGAAATAAGTGTAATCTCTTCATCAGCTTTCTGCTACTATAAATAAATAAAGCTCATATAGAGTTAAAGCAAAACAATGGCCCACCAAAACTAAACATTAAATTTAAAAAGCAAACGCAGGAAGTATAACCTCCTGTCTTCCTGCACCTGCAGCCTGTCCCTCACTCTGTGTGGCCTCTGGGGTTTTTCTCACCCCTCCTGTCCACTCACTGAAGTTCTGTGTGTTCTTGGGGCCTGGAGTTCATGAAGTTGCCTGCCTTGGAAAGCACATGTTAGGTTTAGACTATTTTTTTCCTCTCCAGATTCTTGTTACTCAGTAGCACACTGTTGAGGACTTACTTTTATAATGGCTTAACTCATTTGTTTAGTTAAGGAGATAAAACTGACAGGCTGCTGGAGTTCCTTGATCATTTGACTTCTTTTACAGACCTCATGGGTTGAACTGTGTTTCTCAGTCTTAATCCCTGGAACCAATGGTTGTGACTTCGGGTGGAAAAGGATTATTGGGGATATAATGGGTTAAGATCAGATGAGCAGAAAAAGGCAATCAGGGCGAAGGCCTCCTTCCACAGAAGGTCTGCAGCTTTCACCCCAGCCTTGAGCAGTCTGTATGAGGATCCTAGGCATCACATCATGGCCCATTACCCCTGAAGCTTGCACGTGAGCAGTGGACTGACGGCACCCCAGAGCTGAGCACTGGAGTAGGCATCCAGTCAGAGGGCTCACTGACACACGGGAAAGCTTGTGCAGGCTGCAGGGAGCCTCTGATTGGCTCTGGGGACTAATATGGTCACAGGCTGTCCATTGCTTTTAAGAATTCTGTAGCTGTGTCCTAAAGATGCCATATTACCTGACCTCTGCACAACAGACCCCAGGCATTGCTCTCCCTTGAGACCCCTCTTGTCAGCAGGAGCTCTGCTCATCTTGGGGGCAGGGGGGGGGCTTGAACTCAGGGCTGGATGCTATCCTTGAACTATTTTGTTCAAGGTTGGCACACTACCACTTGAGCCCACAGCACTACTTATGGCTTTTTTTTTTTTGGTAGTTAATTAGAGATGAAAGTCTCTTGGACTTTCCTGCCTGGGCTAGCTTTAAACTGCGATCTCAGCCTCCTGAGTCACCAAAATTGCAGGTGTGAGCCATCAGCACCCTGTTCTCTGCTTATCTTTATCTTCAGTAACTCTTGGCCAGTTTCTTCTCCCTTTGCGTCCATGGACTCAGTGTTGAAGTCATAGAGACAAAGGTGGCAGTGTTTCAGTGTCTTGCAAGAAGAGAAGAAACACAGTCACCAACAGTACCACATGAAAATGGTGCAGCAACTGAGTCCAGGGACTGCTAGCTCTTTGCAGAAACCTGCACAGAGGGGCACAGAGGGGTTCCTGAAGTTTCCAGAGGAGTTTGGCCCTACCCACACCTCGATTTGGTACTGTGACATGTAATCTGTCACCTCCACCCTAGGAAACTAAAATGGAGGTGCCCAGTAAGTGCTTCCTGACTGTAGATGAGTAGCGTCTCCCATTGTTTCGCAGCTGCAGCAATATGAAAACTTTGCACTGGGCACTGGTGGCTCACTCCTGTCAACCTAGCTACTCAAGAGGTTGGGATCTGCGGCTTGTGGTTGGAAGCCAGCCCAGGCCTTAAGATCAGTGAGACTCTTATCTCCAATAAACTACAAGAAGACCAGAAGTGAAGCTGTGACTCAAGTGGCAGAAAGCTACCCTTAAGCACAAAAGCTCAGGGACAGCACCCAGGCCCAGAGTTCAAGCCCTAGGATAAGAAAGAAAGAAAGAGAGAGAGAGAGAGGAAGGAAGGAAGGAAAGAAAGAGGGGGAAGGAAGGAGAAAGAGAGAAAGAAAGAAGAGAGAGGAAAGAAAGAACAGAGATGGAAGGAAGGAAGGAGAAAACGAGGAAGAGAAGAAAGGGAGAAAGAAAGAAAGGAAAGAAGGAAAGAAAGAAAGCTTTCTATGGACATTAGTTATGAAGGGAGTTACCATGGGAGGTGGGATGAGAAACACAACTTCTTGAGCACTTAGCATGAGCACTGGGCTTGGTACTTTGCCAGCAGTGCTCCTGGGATGCCTACCCAACAGACATGAAAATGAATGTTCCAGATCCGTAAGGCCCTTACTCAAGGTCTTAGTCTGTTTTATGTTATAACAGAACACCAGACAGGGGGTGATTTATAAGGAAGTGAGGTTTGTTTTGGCTCATGGCTCCGAGGCTGGGAAGTCCCACTGCTTGGCGCCAGTGTCTGCTCCAGTTCTGTGCTGTGTCAACCCATGCTAGAAAAGCCACAGGCAAACAGTGGCATCAGAAAGAAACTTCATGAGGGTAGCATTGTTTTTTGACAACCAGCTCTTTGCATAACTAAGCCAGTCCTGGGAGAACTGCAGTATTCCCCCTTAAGTATGGAATCACTTCCTAGAGACTTCACCTTCAAACCCCTCCACTGTGGGGACCAAATGCAATGTGAACGAAGCCATGTGCAAATCACAGCAGTGACCCAGAGTGAAGAATGACTCTGGCTTCTCCATCTACAGGAGCCCTGGGGTGTGTCCTGCGCCCCTTTTATCCCCAAAGCTCCTTTTCCAGACCCTGTCTCCAGCCACCGCTGCCACACTTACCACAGTCCCCCTCATGCCCTGTGGTGTCGGAATGAATGGTGTCTGTTTGTGAGGAGCTTCTGTCTCTAGTAATGTGTTTTGAGATCACATATCATGGTCCTATAATCTTAAAATAGGAAGTTACTGGGCACCTCAGCGCACACCTGTAATTCTAGCTACTCGGAAGCTAAGAGCTGTGAATCACTGAAACTGATACAAGCAGACAAAAGTAAGCAACTTATCTCCAGTTAGCCAGGAAAAAGCCAGAAGTGGAGCTATGGCTCAAGTGGTATAGCATCAGTCTTGAGTCCCGAGTTCAAGCCCCAGTATCAACATATAAGTGCGCGCATACACATAGGCACACACACACAGAGGAATCTGAGAGAGCCTGGTACTAGTCCATTTTCTGCACAGCATATCCCATCTATCTGAATAATACTATTTATAAATCTCTGGTGTCCCCAAGTCCTTCAAATGAATGGGAATTCTACAAGCTAGGGTTAGGTTGTCATTGTCTCTAGATGCCTCTGTTCTTCCTGAGTAGCTATAGAATATCTAGAAATGGTGGGAAAGCAATTGAAACAAAAGGAAAACCCTGGGATATGTGAACCAGAATTGTGTGGGTTTTTTTTTTCAAGTAATGAGTTAAACTCAGCCTCTTAAATATGTAGTTTGGAATGTCTTAGGTTTTCCATTGTAAGTTGGTCCTTGTATTGCTTGGTAAAATCTCTAGATTCTGCTGAATTTGCTTCCAGTAAAGTGTTTCTGTTGACTTTTTATTAGTTTTAGAGTCACTCATTTTGGAAAGCTTTATCATATTCATAATTCTCTATCAAACTTCCCTTAATAATCAGTAGTTTATCTGATGCTGAAGGTAGAAAGGCTGTGGTTAAAGCTGCTGTGATTCCCTGGAACAAAGGCCAAGTGAACTTTTCAATCCTTCCTTCCTTCCTTCCTTCCTTCCTTCCTTCCTTCCTTCCTTCCTTCCTTCCTTCCTTCCTTTTTTGGCAGTACAAGGGATCAAGCTCAGGGCTTTCTTCAGGCTAGGTCACTGACTTACAAGAGATCTGAACATATACACACTTGTAGTTGGACCCAGGGCTGCTCAGAGGTCCCGAATATTTATCATAGCAATGATATTAAAAAATAATCGCTGTTGATATATGTACCATGTGTCAGGCACTGTTCTCAACATGCTGTGTATGCTCCACGGTGGCCCTGACAGCAGTGGTCTGAGGTAATGATGCTGTTGGTATTCTGTAACCTCAGTAGCCTAATGCCAGAAGAATAAATAGCTTACCTGGGACACACAGATATAGCACATAAGAGTGTGAAACCCATACTCAATCTTCTTTTGGGGGGAGGAGGCATACTTGGATTTGAACTCAGGGCATTGCCTTTACCAGCCAGAGACTCCACCATTTCAGCCATGCCTCCAAGCTTCTTGGATTTATTTACTTTTCAGATAGGATCTCACTTTTTTTGCCCGGCACTGGCCACAGGCTATGATCTTCCTACCTGTACTCCTGGAGTAGCTGGATTACAGATGTGAGCCATGGTGCCTCGCTTCATACCCAGATCTGGTGGGATCAAGTCCTTGTTTCTAAGGTTTTTAAAGAGAACCCGAGATCCCTGAGGCCTTTCTAGGAGACCAACCAGGTGATGTTTTCCCCAACTGTGTATCCATCCATGTTAGACAATAGCTTTTATATATATATATAGCTATCTCTATCTATCTATCTATCTATCTATCTATCTATCTATCTATCTATCTATCTATCTATCTATCTATCTATTTGGTGCTCTGGGTTGAACCCAGCACCTCACCTCATGCATGCTAAGTATACAAATACTACTGGCCACACCCCCTCCCGTCCTCTTCCGGTGGCTCAATCAGAACTTCTTGGCATTAGAGTGAGTGCAGAGGCACATAGAAAAGGTTTAGTTGTCTTCAAAACAGACAATTAAAAGGTTTGCAAAATTGTAAACAATGCAGCCCTTCTCTCAAAGTGCCTGGTATATTTCAGGAAATACAATTGTCCTGAAAATGTTCTGTTAAACTGAGTACAGGTGTTTTACTCCGGTAATTGTAGCTTCTCAGGAGATTGAGACCTATGGATCATAGTTCAGAGTCAGCTCAGGCAGAAATGTCTGTGAGACTCCATCTTCAATGAATCAGCAAAATGCCAGACTAGAAGTGTGGCTCAAAGGATGGAACACCAGCCATGAACAAGCAAGATGAGAGGCCCTGAATTCAAGCCCCAGTACTAGCAAACGCCAACAACTAACAGTTCTATTCAAGCCTGGCATGGTGGTGTGTGCCTATAATCCCAGTTCTGAGAAGGCTGAGATAGGAGGCCCTCAGGTGCAGGCTAGCTTGGACTTCAGAGCCAGACTGTCTCGAACAATAAAAATGTAGTGCACACCTATGTTTTAAATTATCAGCTATAATTTCCGACCTGTTAAACATTGACATCGATCATGTAGACAGAAGCTGTCAAGGATCCTCAATAATTTGGGTGTGACAGACGCTGTGTCCCTGCCCGCTTTGGCTCATTTTGTTCTCTGCTGAGCTTTTCTGTGCTCACGGCCTAGTGATCCCATTATTCCCCATTCTTTGTTTCACTTGGGGGCAGAGCTTAATGGTCAATTCTTTCTTTTTTAGGTAGAGAGAGCCATCTCCCTGCCACCTAAAATCTTTCAACTATTTTCCAGTGACATTTATGGGAGCTTCTCTATGCAGGCTCTTAGAGAATGGATTAAAGTCTTTTTTCTTTTTAATGCTGACAGAACACTGGCTCTACTACTGAACTTTACCATCCCCCCCCCCAGCCCTGAATGAGGGGTCTTCAGTAGCAAGTTACACGTTGTCCTCTTTCTCTTGACAGCTGTTCCAGCTGTTCTGTCTGCTCTAGCCTGAAGCATCAGTGTGTTCATGAGACCTCCCCGCATGCAGAGGCTCCCCTGCAAGCACCCAGAAACACCTGTGAATAAAACTAATCATAGCCGGGGACCCGCAGCTCACACCCGTCATCTTAGCTACTCAGGAGATTGAGATCTGAGGAACATGGTTCAAAGTTAGCCCTGGCAGGAAAGTCTGTGAGACTTATCTCCAATTAATCAGCAAAATGCTTGAAGAGTTGTGGTTCAAGTGGTAGAGCACCGGTCTTGAACGAAAAAGATAGTGTCTAGTCCTTGAATTCAGACACCAAAAACAAACCATAGTAGGAGCTTCATTTTCATTAGCATACATTAGTTACACGAGGAAAGTGGGGGGCTCATTGTGCCTTCTTGCTAACCCAAACCCCTTAGGCTGGTTGCCGCCCTGCCAACAGAGCCTGTTTTTAACCTCACGGCCCATGCATTCAATTGTTTGGTTTGGGCTTGCATCATGAGAAGCTGTAAAGCGCACCAGCAACATCTCCTCGAATCCTCAGAATGTCCTTGAGCAGTAGATGCATCACAGGCGAGAGAGTCCAGCCTGCAGGACATCACCCAGCTCCCCTGCTTTTCATGCTTCAGAATCACAGGGGCAGCTTTGAATCCCCAAGGCAGCCAGGCACTGTGTTCAGAGACCTGGAAATTTCCACTGCTGAGGCTTAGCACTTCCCCTGATGTGCCCGGATTATGCCAGCATAATTACGCATTTGGAACACAGGGGTTCGTGTTTTGTGTTTTGCCAGTATCAGGATTTGAACTCAGGTCCTCATGCTTGCTCAGGTGATGTTCTACCATTTGAGCCTCACCTCCAGCTTTTTGCTAGTTAATTAGAGTCTTGAAGGCTTTTCTCTCCAGGCTGGCTTTGAACCTCGATCCTTCAGACCTCAGCCTCCTGAGTAGCTAGGATTATAGATGAGAGTCACCAGACTAGAACACATGAATTTGATCTGCAGTTCCTAGTAGGAAAGTTTGCAAAGCTCTTGTTTTTTAGATTAGACATAGAGACGGAAGTCCTTCACATCACCCCTCAGGGTGACCAGACAGTGTCTCACCTAGAATGGCAGGAGGAACAGCTCTGTGGATCTGCCCCCTCTTTCAGCTGAGTTTGGTGTCCGCAGGAATCCGCTCTGCTCACAGGAGCAGTCAGTTAAGGCATGAAGCACATCTAGTAACAGCCATGTTTAATCACTGCCGGGTGGGGACTGTCTTCCACAGCTCTGAGAAGAAGTTCTGCTCCGGGACTGGCTGGCCTTCGTTTTCAGAGGCTCACGGTACTTCCGGCCTCGATGAAAGCCACACGGCGATACTGAGACGTCTGGACACCTCCCTGGGATCTGCACGCACGGAGGTGGTCTGCAAGCAGGTGCTTTGCGTTGTTATGTTTTCTCTGATTCCACCAAGCGTGCTACAGGGAGTTTTCCGGTCCTGGGCACCCCAAGGCACTCTGTCATCAAAACAATTGGACGGGTACTCTCACCCTTGAAGGGCCCTTCCTCCCATCCCCTAACCCTGGGCCCTCAGATAAGAGTGAAAGGCTTTCCTCTAAGCCCTGGCTCAGAATGGAACAGAAAGTGGAATGAGCTGACCTTTGACATTCCTGTGATTGGCCCTTCCCGACCGCCTAAGGCTGCTGCTTTGACTCACTAAGGGGCAGAACATCCTTCCTGGAACCCAGTATGGCCAATGGCTTAAATCAAGACGGCAAACTCAGCTTCATATCCTTGGCCGCTTACATTTCCTGGTGCATGGATTATTTTGTTGTTGTTTGTTTCTTTCTTTTCATTTTTTTTTCTGGATCTGAACCCAAGGCCTTACATTAGGCTTTTTTCACTCAAAGTTGGTGCTCTACCACTTAAGCCACATCTCCATTTCTGGCTTTTTGCTGGCTATTAGGAGTAAGAGTCTCTCTGACTTTTCTGGCGGCCTGGCTCACAACTGTAATGCTTAGAGCTCAGCTTCTTGGATAGCTAGGATTACAGGCCTGAGCCGCCGCTGCCTGGTGGAGTCATGGGTTTTATGAGACAGCAGAGGGAAGCAGATAAAAGTAGCATAGTTAGTTTTGCCTTCAGTAGAGGAAAAAATGCACACTGTCAACCACACGTACTGAGACTTACCCAGGAATTGTGTTAATATTAACCTCATTTGTATTGTTTCCATTCATAAGTAGGTAAAATTATTGCCTCCATTTTATATATGAGCAAGTCAAGGTCTAAATTGAATAATTCACCCCCATTCACACTGATAATACAGGCATACTCACCAGTACTGTGTTGTTTATTCTTTCATTTTGTAATCAATTTTAGTCTTTTTTGGTGCAGGTACCGGGACCTGTACTCAGAGCTGAGTTCTGTCCCTTAACTTTTTTTTTTGGGGGTCCGGTTGTGGGGCTTGAACTCTGGGCCTGGGCGCTGTCCCTCAGCTCTTCAGCTCAAGGCTAGTGCTCTACCACTTGAGCCACAGTGCCACTTCCGGCTTTTTTCTTTTTTTTTTTTTGCTTATGTGGTGCTGAGGAATTGAACCCAGGGCCTCAGGCATGCAAGGCAAGCGCTCTGCCACTGAACCACCTTCCCAGCCCTGTCCCTTAACTTTTTCACTCAAGGCTGGTGCTCTACCACTTGAGCCTTACCTCCACTTCTGGCTTTTTACTGGTTACTTGAAGATAAGAATCTCATAGACTTTCCTGCCTGGGTTGGCTTCTAACCATGGTCTCAAATCTTAACCTCCTGAGTAGCTAGGATTATAGGTGTCACCAGCACCCAGCTACAACCAAATTCTGATGAAAGAGACTTTGCTTCCTGTGTGGATTAGACTCTGGCGTGGGGTGGCCAGGCAGGCTGTCCATCTGGTTTTATAGAAACAGCTTTGTCTGAGAGTAACAGAACCCTCTCTCCTCTGCAGTGTGATGCTCATCTTGGCCATGTGTTCCCCGATGGACCTGCGCCCAGCGGCCAGAGGTTTTGCATCAACAGTGTGGCGCTGAAATTCAAAGCAGGCAAACACTGACCCTCTCCAAGAGGCACTCCTTTGCCCCTCCCTCCCTCCCTCCCTCCCTCCCTCCCTCCCTCCC